ATCATTTGCAGGGAGGTTCTCCTCCGCCAGACCCGGACAGGCCCCAGGGGACCTCAGGCCCCCAAGCAGACCTGCCCGGGCTTCTCCTGGGGGTGCCGGCAGCCTCACGCACACACTCTCTCGCCAGCGTGACCAACGGCGGCAAGACCACACTGACCAACAGCCTGTTCAAGGCACTGCCCAACTGCTGCGTCATCCACCAGGACGACTTCTTCAAGGTGGCCGCCCTTGCCCAGGGTGGGCAGGGGGCAGGGGACACAGGGCAAGCCGCCACTCCCCGCCCGGCCCCTCCCAGGTGGCCCTGGGACGGCACCCACTGTGACACGCCCAGCCCACGCTCCCGGGACACCCCTACAGCGGGGAGCACCATCAGACTGATGGGGAAACTTCGGTCCCCAGAGGGGGCCCGCGCTGCGCTGTGGCCTTCTGAGTAAATGCCCTTTATCCATGTGCACCTCAATCTTCCCATCTGCAAAATGGGCTCTGAGCCCACGCTGGCTGCATTGTCAAGGGCAAGGGCTAAGGAAGCGACAGTCCTGGGAGAACCCAAGTGCCACCCCACCTGGGGCTCTGTCACCACAGGGTAGGGGTGAGGTGGGGCGGGCAGGAGCCAGCACTAAGCCTGAGGTCCCGGCCCCTCTTGTTTCAGCCCCAAGACCAAATCGCGGTTGGGGAAGACGGCTTCAAACAGTGGGATGGTAAGGACAACAGCGGCCCCCGACCTGCCCGCCCCCGGCCCCCCACTGTCCTCAGCCCTCCTCCAATGCCCGCCCTGCCGCCCCCAGTGCTGGAGTCGCTGGACATGGAGGCCATGCTGGGCACCGTGCGCGCCTGGCTGCGCAGCCCCCAGAAGTTCGCCCGCGCCCACGGGGTCAGCGTCCGGCCAGACGCCGCGGACACCCACGTCCTCATCCTGGACGGCTTCCTGCTCTACAGCTACCGGTGAGCGTGCGCCGGCCCCGGCCCCGGACGACGCAGGCCCTCCCGGGATGGGCATCCCCGGGCCGGACGCATCTCTGTGTTGACCGAAGGGACACCAGGCTCCAGGGGGAGCAGCAGGAGGGCAGGAGTCCGGGGCAGAGCGGGGATCGACTCAGGTCGGGGCAAACAGCCACACTTCTTGGGGAAACTGAGTCCTTCTCCTAGACCCTCGGCATTCTCAGGCAGGCCAGGAACCCGGGCTGGACCCTCTGGCCTTGCTGTGTGACGCTGGGCAAGACACTGTGTCTCTCTGTGCCCGTCGGAACTGGGGGAAGGGCGTGACTCCATTTGGGGGGGTTGCCGTAGGGATGTTGGCCCATGCTGGCTCCTTCCCTGGCCCCTGAACGCACTGGCTCAGACCCCGCAGCCCTCTCGCTCCCTGGAGGCCGAGGCCGGGGGGTGGTGTGCTGCGGCTGTGGTTGAAGGCAAGGTCGCGGGGGCTGACGGTGTCACCACGCCCCGCCCAGGCCCATGGTGGACTTGTACAGCCGCCGGTACTTCCTGACTGTCCCGTACGAAGAATGCAAGTGGAGGAGAAGGTGGGTCTGGGGTCTGCGGGGCTGGGGCGAGGGGTCCCGCCCGGCCCGGCAATGAACCAGAAAATGCCGCCAGACACAGGCCGCCCTGACGCAGCAGGCGGGGGACACTTAGCCAGCCAGAGCTGAGTGCCAGGAGCCTGCAGCCCGAGGCCTGGAGAGCGCGGCCCACTCCCCGCTGCCCCGGGACCCCCTGCTCAGTGGTGCTACCCCTGACCGAGCCTAGTTCCAGGTCCGTTATTGGCACCGGCCGTGGGTGCGGGGCTGTTCCTCACTCTGCCGTCTCCCTGGGCAGCACCCGCAGCTACACAGTCCCTGATCCTCCCGGCCTCTTTGACGGCCACGTGTGGCCCATGTACCAGAAGTATAGACGGGAGATGGAAGCGGATGGTGTGGAAGTGGGTAAGGCCCCCACGCGAGGCCAGGCCTTTCCCTGGCTGGGGGGACCCCGAGCCCAGCCCCTCTGCACCCTAAATGCCCTTTAGGCCTCCCCGCTGGGGACCATTTGGGAAAATTGGAAGTCCCTCTTTGAGTCTCACCACCAGTCCCTCTTGCTGTTGGCCCCGGAAACTGTTCTATTCCAGCAGGCTGACCCCGCAGTCCGCCCCTGCCCCTGTGCGCTGGCCACCTTCCTCCTGGCAGCAGCCCCGACGACCCGGCAGCCCTGACTGTGGCCTTTCTGATTCCAGTCTACCTGGACGGCATGAAGTCCCGAGAGGAGCTCTTCCACCAGGTCCTGGAAGACATTCAGAACTCGCTCCTGAACCGCTCCCAGGCTGTGGCCCCCACCCCGGCTCACCCCGCCAGGCCACAGGGACCCGGACTTGGTGGCGGCCACAGAGCAGCCAGGCCCACGGCGGCCCAGCCGGACACTGTGTGACTGTTTCCCCTTGGGGGAGTCTGTGCAGAGAGGCCAGAGTGGAGGCCCCACCTGCAGCCCCGCGTCTCAGGGCTCCCGGACCCAGCCCCAAGACTCCCTTGTGACCGCCACACGGCTTGAGTATTAAACTGCGTCCTGCTTTTGTAACCACCAGGGTCCAGCGTGTTCTTTTTGAGGTCCTGTCCCCTCTCCTGGGCTCATTGGTGGCTCTGGGGGCTGAGAGCTCTGGGCAGTGGGCTGGTTGGGGGTCCCTGGAGCCTCAGTTTCCCCAAAGGAGAAATTTCCTGGGAGCTTTCAGGATGTTCCCAAGGTTGCTCTGGCCCTTCCCTGAGACTGTCCCTCCCTGGCCCATCCTTGTTCTCTGTGACTGACCCAAAATGTCCACAAAGCACACACTTTCCGTCCAGTAGCCGAGCCCGACCCCTCTGCCACTGAACTCACGTCTCCCTGAACCCCCCCAGCAATCTCAGTGAGAGACATTTTATGTTTATGCCCATTTCACGGAGGGGTAAACTGAGGCTGAGTAGTGCCATTCCTTTTGCCCAGGACAGGCGGATGCGGTTGGGGCATCCCTTGGCCTGAGGGTGACACCCCATGGCCAGCTGTGGAATTGCAGTCATCAGCCCGCTCAGTCCGGAAAAGCTCCTGTAGTCCGGACAGCTTTGGACAAAGCCAGTGACTATTTAGAAATTATGGGGTGGTGGGTGGGAAGAAAAGGAAAAAAGCCATAACTATGTAGCCCAGCAATTCCGCTCCCAGGAACAGACCCAGAAGAACGGAGAGCAGGTGTTCAAAGAAAAGTGCGTTCACGAATGTTCCCAGCAGCGTGTTGTGCAACAGCCAAGAGGTGGCAACAGCCCAAATGCCCCTCGAGGGACGAATGACACATGCCGTGGCCTGTCCCTATGATGATATGCGGTACGGCCTCAAGCAGAAAGGAAGTTCTGACCCATGCTGCCACGCGGATGGACTGCGAGGGCGTTACGAGAAAGACGCCAGTCACAAAAGGACGCCATTGTGTGAGTCCGCTAGCAGGCAACGTCCGGAACAGACACATCACAGAGACCGAACGTGGACTCGTGGTTGCCAGGGGCTGGGGGCGGGGGGAGAGGAGTGGCTGCCCATGGGGCCAGGTGCTGCCTTTGCGTGATGCAGCCCATGTGGAGCGAGGTAGTGGCGTTGGCTGCGCGGCATTGAATGCACCAAACGCCACGGAACTGTTCCTTTCCAATGGCCGCTTTCGTGTTGTGGGAATTCCGCCTGGACAAGAAGAGGAAGGCGGGAAGGGAGCAGGGGAGGAGGAAGGGCACGGTTTCAGGAGGCCATGCGGGGCCGCAGGAGCTTGAGGGTCCCGGCCTGTGCCGCTTCCCTGCTGTGTGTGTGGTCCGTGGTGGGACGAGGGGTTTGGGCGTCTGACTCACCACAAAGCCCAGGCCCCTCGGTCCACAGTCCCCAGGCTTCCCACCCGGGTGGCACGGAGGGGGCTCTCTGCGTACCCCGCGGTCCCCTGCCCTCCACCTCAGAACCTGCGAGCTCTGCCCCCCTGGGCGCCCGTCTTGCCTCTGCCCAGCCCCAGCACAGGGGTCCCGGACCCCTCGGGAAACTGCTCACTTGTTGTGCCCCATCCCAGAGCCTCCCCTGCTGCCCCGATCCATGCCCTTCCTGCAGCAGGAATCGCCCTGTGGAG